TTCAAAAAGGTTCAATTTAAATTGGGTAAATAAATAAAAATTTTAATGTCTTTAAAATCACTAACCCACAAGCTTTTTTTCCCAGAGGATCAGACAATGAAGGATGTTGTTTTCTATAAAATGTTTAAAGTTGCGAGTTCAAGATCAGCCTCATTAACAGTGAGGTGCTAAGCAACTCAATGAGACCCTGTCTCTAAATAAAAAAAATACAAAAAAAGGGCTGGAGTGTGGTTCAGTGGTTAAGTGCCCCTGAGTTCAATCCCCAGTACCAAAAAAAAAAAATGTTTAAAGTGTAATGTCCATTGCTTCTAGGATTTTCCTTCAATGGAAAAGGATGATTTGAATTTTAATGTACTGATATGAAGCAAAGTATGAAACATTGATCTGCTCTTATCTATTGATAATTTTCTTTTATTTGTTAGGTTTTATTACTTGGGGAAACTAAGTCTTAAAGGAATTAGGGTATATACCTATTTTAAGGTCTTAAATAATTACTTTGTAACTGGTTAAATAAACAGATATTATTTAGGTTATAACAATATAATTGACCCCAAAATATATGTGACTAGGTATATTTATGCATCTGAGAACTACATCTGTCTAAGTCTTATCTAAGTGTTATGTAAAGGTTTATAAAGTGAAAATTTATATAAGTTTACCAGCAAGATAACCATTAAGTTATCTCTTTTGTGCATGGTCATAAAAGGGTTACACTGTCATTTGAAGATATGTCTTATATTGGTTTACTTTGACTAAGTCAATTTCTGATTATTAACACAGTTTCCTAAATGTATGAGATTTAATGCTATCCTTTGATTTTTGTTAACCTATGTAGACCTATGTATTCTAAATTATACTTTAAAAGGTAAACTTAGTTAAATGTAAAGCTTAGGAGAGCACTTTGTCACATTGGTGTTCTCCAAACTAAAATTATCTGTAGCAAGAGTCTCACATTTGTGTAGAATAACAAATTAAATTGGTATGTATTCATATCTTCTAATGTTTTATAGCTGGATAAATTAATCTGTTGTCAATAAGTTATATATACAATTTTATGTTACTCTTCACACTAGAATTGGAATTTAAATGCACTTTTGAAAGATAATGAGGAGAATATGATCTATTTAAAGGTAATATCATAAAACAAAACATTTTGCCACTTAACCACACAAAAGTAAAGTTAAAAGCTCACTCAACCTTTCTCTGATTAATGTTTTAAATATGTTATATTATGTTAATTAATGTTCATATAAACTCAGGAAAAATATATACAAACTTTATAAAATTACATTTAATAAAGAGACAAAGATCAATTTCAGAACTGGAACACTTAAACTAAAATTTACCAAGAGCCCCAGCTCACATAAATTAAGACCCTGTCTCTCATGTTACTGCTTCGTGTTAAGATAATCTCAAAGTAGATAAATTTAAGCTAATTTAAAGTTATGTTCAAAGGATAACTTTTTGTTATAAAGATAACTGATTTCAAAATAAATAAGGAACATAATACAAAATTACATAAAGATTTTGATAAAGTATAAAAGGTATTTATGGTTGTAAGAGAGTTTAAAAAGAAAATAAACTGTGAAGGATTTCATAAGTGATTAAGTTCATAAATTATTTGGTCTTTTTAGGGACTAAATAGATATCAAATTTAAATTAGTACTATTATAGAAATTATATTTCTTGGTTCAAAGTCATTATACAAACTGAATATGTTGTTACTCTTACTGACTTCATTTTATATTTTCCTGTAAACTTCATAGCTGTTGCCTGTTAATGTTCTACAGAGGTATTGCTTAAAGAACACACAGCCTGGGTTAATTTAAGATAATAAGCCATCATCTACTGGACAAATAGGATATAAAACTAACTTCTAATACATACCCCAATTAAATACAATGGGTAAATGATTGTAAGGTTATAAACACTGAAGTTAAAGCTCAGCACTCTTACTTTAAGACTGGTGAGACAGACTTGCGAGATGTTTAAAACCAAGGCTTAAAGATTAAAGTTAAAATAAAAGGGCCAAGAAAACCAATATTTGGCTCTAACTCTGAGTCAGCCTGAACCTAGGGAACAAGAGAACTTCTCTAAGGAGATTTCCAACTCTAGGCCACATGAATTCCTGATCAGAGAGATCAACAGGACCACTGGAAAATGGAAAGCCAATCCATGCACCTCTACAAAAGGAGAAGGTCATTTGAGAAGGGAGACATCCCTGATGCTTCCAAGGGAAGCCATCTCATCAAGGAGACCCTAGTAGATGGCACTAAAAGAGCTAAGAAGTTACTCTCAAGTTCCCCAAGATTAACCCCTGAGGGAACTCAGCTGACTCTTAACTGCAGATAGGAACATGGTTAATTTTTGACCAACTTGGTCTTAAACACCTGGCAAGAGAGTATAACCAAAACACAGCCACACATGGACATTTAGAAAAACAAAACAAAACAAAACAAAAAACCCAATAGTTTTTTTAATAAAACTTAAGATGTACACTTATTTCAGTCCCACAGCCCTGATGCCCCCAAACTCCTGAGGTATATTCTTTAAGTGGCTCATAAATTGGCCTCTATACCTTAATTTTCTTTACTTCTCAAACTGACATTCAACCCCACAACCAAAGGCTACCCATTCCAATAACAGCACACACCAGACACAGGAGATTCCCCTCATCGGGCCTTCACTAATGATTCTTGCCGCAGTCTGTCTGGGCACAAGATCACGAGCCACTCACACTTTGTAGATTCAAACAGAATTCTTTATTCCCGAACTCACACCGGCCCTCTACAAACACGTTCTGGGGAAATCCAAGTTCGGCCGCCCTCAATTCACGTCCCAAAGTACTTTCTCAATTCCACGAGAACTCAAGGGGAACTCAGGCAGCAGGATATGTCCTGTTCCCAGCAGGAATAACCTTAAACCTGGAACTGCCCTAAACCCAGATTGTCTTAAACCGGGAACACCCTAAACCCAAGGAGTGAGATACTTCCTAAAACATGCAGGATACACCCTAAACCTGGATCCACCCTGGTCCTTGAGCAGGGTCACCTTTCTCAAACACACATGCAAGGTCACAGCGAATTTCCAAGGCAAGTCCATTTAACATGGGGTACGCTGGCAAGGAAATTTTGATGCGTCATTCCTACTTGGCAATGGCCCTCAGCAGATTCTCTTAGTAATTCTTATAGGTCCTTGCATTTTCAGTTGCCACCAAAATTTCCCAAAGGACCAGAAAAAGATCTTCACCACTTCCTCATGTAATTCCTCAGGACCACTTTATTCCAATGTCTCCTACTTTGCTGCATCCTCCCCACCCTATGTTTCTATTCCACCATTCTATCTAATAGTTCCTTATGTAATACCACTTACAATATCACTCAGGCACTTCAGAGCCAACCTGGCATCTTCTTCCTCTGTGGAAGCTCCATTCTTCACTGCCTGACAATCCCTATTCCCACTTTCTGCCTCCCTGTCCTCCTTACACCTGATATCACCATACACTATGAGGGGGGGTTGAACTGTCCCTTTTCTCTCCTTCCTGGACTTCACTTCAACATCCCAGATGCAAAAGAACAATCTTCAACCCAGTCCTCATTGGCTCAGGCATATTGGCAGCAGCTGGCACAGGGGTAGTAGAAATTGGTACAGCCACCCATCTTTACCATAAACTCTCCCAAGAATTGAATGATGACTTTAAGCGGGTGGCAGACTTCCTAGAATCTCTTCAAATTCAAGTCACTTCTTTAGCCAATGTAGTTTTCCAAAATAGGAGAGCTATTTATTTACTAACTTCAGAAAAGGGAGGCACTTGTGTCTTTTTAGAAGAGGAATGCTATTATTTTGCCAACAAATCCAGAATAGTCCAAGGAAAAATAGCTGAGCTCCAGGAGAGCATTAAGAAGCGCCACCAGGAGCAGCAGCAGTCATCTCCCTGGAACCTTTTGGGTCAGATTCTCCTCTGGCTGCTCCCATTGATGGGCCCTCTCCTTATATTCATCATAGTGCTCTTAATAAGACCTTGTCTGGTAAAATGCCTGAAAACTTTTTTTACAAGATTGAGTAAAGGCACTCACTAATCAGACTGTAAACCAGCTCTTTATGAATCAACATAGCCCCCTCCCCAAAGTTCTGGCCTAAACCCTTCTTCACCCCCATTCAGCTCAAAGAAGAATGAACAACACTCATTATTATTATAAGACAAAAGGCCAAAATTTAGGTCCCTAGATATTAGTAACTCCATTTTGGTTCTGAGACTCCATCTTGACCTGAAACCAAAACTTTTATAAATTGCCAAGAAAAAGAAACTTGAGATACCCTGTTCCCATAACCCCCCAAGGTTCCTAAGCACAATAAAAACCTGTTGTTACCCAAACACCTGTAACCAAAGTCATTTCTAGCTTGCTCTTGCTCCTTGTCCAAAAGATATATAAGCTTCCATTCAAGTGACACTGGCTGCTGCACTTTGCAGAAGGGCAGCCTGACAGATTTTCTCTGTTAGTAAACCTTTGCTTGAACTCAGAGCTGTGTCTCTCATGGATATTTGCACCAGCTACTCTGACACTATGTCTCTCTGGTTTCCTTTACTGTCAAATATTGAATTTCATTGAGTTTCTTAGTTATCCATCTTTCTGAGGTGCTGCCATCCCTTTTTCAAATCTTAAGGAAAGGAACTGCTGGAAAGCACAGCCTTCCTCTAATCTGCCATCTTCTCTCTCTGCCTCTAACTTGATAAGATTTCAGAGGGTCTATGTGGGGATCATGGATTTTGTGTCTTCAGAACACTTTTCTTCATACTTGTCTGAGTGACCTATGTAACTGTCCTGAGAGATAGTTGATAATCAAGTTAAACATTTGGAGATGATATGACTTATTCTACAGGGAGGAGTCAGAAGGGAAGACTTGAAGATATTGTCCATCGTGTGATTTCCCTAGATGTTAATCTATACTGATGAAGTAAAGAACAGGAGTTAAAACTGTGTCCAATAATGCAAGCTTACCTCTTAGAATGATTACAGCTCCAGTATTCCATGGATTTACCCAAGGCTGTAGAATGGAAGGTGGGCATTCATTTGTGCCCTATAGTGAAGTCACAGGGTCCCTGGTGCTCCTCCTATCTCTGCAATAGGTAAGGAGAAACTAAATCAACCACCTGCAAAATGTTCGTGTGTATTTTCACAGGAAAGATTTTTTAAAAGTAAAAGGAAAATCACAAATACAAATCCCACCTGTTTATCAAAACCATTACCTTTAGCATATTTAGTTTTAGAAGTATTGCCTGACCAGTGATATATGTTTAATAGTCATAGTATCCTAATTATGCAAAAGTGGTATAATTATTTGTTTTCTAAATAGATACTCATATAAATTGATTTAGGATTGGCTATGAACTGGTATGCCTCTGTCTCTGACAATGTTTCAATAATGCCAATGAGTACAGATGAGGTCTCAAATGCATTCCTCTCGTTCTCAAGTCATGAGTTAACTTCAAACACCATAGCTTCAACATCTTGTGGGGAAGGAAGGTTTGCAATGTTTACTTTAAGTTCAATACAGTAGGGCGGGTATAGGAGCAGTGGCAGTGGATCCCTGTAAGAGGCATTTTTTGATCCTTTCTCCTGTCACCAACCTAGTTAATACCAACTAGCCATTTCTGCCATGACACTGTTTTATCCAGTTATCCTCCCAAATCCTTCTCCACATCTCACACAGTCATGCATCATTACCATAATGACATTAAATAACATGCTCAAGTACTTCAAATGTATATTCAGGGGCTGGGGATGTAACTCAGTGGTAAAGCACTAGCATAGCATGTATGAAGTCCTGGATTCAATCCCTAGCATCACACATAAAAATACATGTTCAGCTCCTACCTACATCAAGTCCTTTCTTCTCTAAGAGACTCCAAGCAACAACTTCAAAGTTTCTCAAACTTCATGTTGCATACCAGTGGAACTTGGAATATGTTTTGGTTCTGCATTCTCTGTTGTCTATATCACTTTCTCTTGCTTTAGGAAAGAGGCTAACAGAAAACTTCTCTAAGGCATGTACAACTAAGGGTTTTGTCTGCTCAACTCCAAGAAACCAGTGTGAGATAAGACAGAAAACCTGAATGAATTTTCACAGTGCTTAGATTTCCTCCCAGGTCTGGTCAGGACAATTATTCATAACAGTAGCTAAAGAAGAGAGCTCCAGTGTTCTCTCACATCCCTCCTTCCATCCTGGCAATGATGACTAGAAATGCACAGTTATTTCTTGGCCCATGTCAGGCCTTAGTATACCAGATCCTGGTACTAAGTAATTTAGATGAAAATTATTAGTTCAGGGTTTACTTTTGACTTTGTGGGGGCTTCAGAGAGTATTAATTGATTCAAACAATTTACTGGCTTTTCTCTAAATCAACATTATAAATAATAAGGACATTTTAATGAACAGTCCCCCAAAACAACCCTTTACCCCAATCCTATGAGTAATAGTCAATGCAATGAGATTTACTTTGCTTCATTTCACAGAGCAGTGCTTCTAAAATACTAATGGTCTCTTAGCAAATGTTAAGAGTGTTCTTCTTTTCCTTTCATCCTAGTATAATCCAATTTATTAATTTGTCCAGGTTCTACCTCCATTACAATTTATAGGTGAGAGGACATTAATTAGTAAAATCAACAAGATAAAAATACTCTTATGAGGCTGGTAAAATTGGACACTAAATAAACATCAGAAAGAGACAATATAAGCAAGAAAAAAATATAGTACATGTTTAAATGTAAATGTAAAAATTACAAATAAAACATTATCAACCTGAACTAACCAATGCATAATCACAAAATATTTGTTCCTAAAATGAAAGGATAGTAAAATATTAGTAAAAAATCAATCAACAAACTTCTAATAATGCCTGAAAAATGAATACAAATGCTTCATTTCTCCTTTCAGAAAACTGCTGGTAAAGAAGTAAAGGGGTAAAATAGGGTCTGGAAGCCAAGAAAAATATGTGAGTAAAATTTCAGGAGCTAGAAAACAGGTGGATGAACTATAAGCCCTTAGACAGTCACAAAGAATGAAACTAATCTTATAGGAAACAAATTAAAAACTCTGGAATTGGAGATATCAAGTTATATCCAAGGCAGAGATTGAAGAGTATATATAATTACTGAATGATTCAAGGAAAACATCAAAAAAGCCATTACCTCTCTACTGTCCTCCACCCTAAATAGTCAGAATTCCTATGTCAGCCTCAACATGAACTCAAGTTTTCTTCACATCCTCATTATACTCTGCTAGTGCCTATAACATCCATTGCACCTCAGTTTTTTTCCATTCTATGGTTACTGGGGTTGCAAAAAGTTGTCAAATACTCATTTTAAAAAATCAACTTGATAGGCTGGGGTTGTGGCTCAGTGGTAGAACACTTGCCTCAAACATGTGAGTCACTGGGTTCCATCCTCAGCACCACATAAAAATAAATAAATAAAGATTAAAAAATCAACTTGCCAAAATAAGACCATAACATGTTATACCTTTTCTTCTCAAGACTAGCAGGTAGCTGATATAACAATAAGACTGAAGACTAAGAACAGGGTAGGTATGGGAAATACCAGTCACCTGGAAAAATCACCCAATGTTTTAACAGCTAAACTCCTCTGAAGATAACTAGAAAACCTGTTGCTATCTGCTTGTGGAAAATTTGAATCTTTTCCCTCTACTTCTTCAGAATTGTTCTATTTATCTGAGTGAAACCCATATTTGACCATTCAACTTCAGTTTAAATAATTTACTATGACTGCACCTAACTTAATGAAGCAGAATATTATGGGGACCTTAGGGCAATATTTTCTCTTACCACAAATTTGAGCGTGCACACTGAACTCTATCCCTATCTCTCTGCCAAGGGTGTACATATATCCCTATCTCTCTGCCAAGGATGTGTATAATTATAAAAATAATCAATGTACTTTTTTATGGACATCTTCAGAGAGACAAAGGAGGGAAATCTCTGGCACACTGCAGAATAAAACCTCATCAAACTTGCTTCATTAGACTGTCTAACCTCCATTCCTGGCAAAATGTTTGAACTATTTTATATCTCCATTTAACCAATACTTATTGAGGTTCTACTATGTTCCAGGCAATACTCTGGACTCTGTGGGCACAGCCTTGAAGAAAGCAGATAAATATGCATATCTCCATTCCCAAAAGCTAAATGGGTGTTCCAAGGTGCCCTCCTGGAAACAGGCTCTGAGATTAAACTTACTATACTGGATGTTTATTATGAAGTTTCATTGGGATCAACATTCATAGGTAAGAGTGGGCAGACTGATTGAACTAAGAAAAAAGTCAGTCTGCAATGCAGGTCTATTGACAGTTTTTGCCAATACCATTTGAAGTTTAGGAGCTAAAATGTCCTACTAGACTTGCCAAGTATTAGACCTAAGTGGCTGAGCCTTTATATACTACTTCCTTCAGTCACATAGATAGAACATAACCATGGTCAATATAGCTTTCTGCAGCAGAGTTAGCCCTGAAAACACAACAAATAAGGGAAGTCTGTTGACATCAATGCCAGCAGGTGGGCAACAAGTCATTCACTCAGGAAAAATATAGGTAACACACATATGTTGTCCCTCACAGCTTACTCTTTGCTGTGATTGGATTCATGTTTCCACATAACATTCAAGTATCAGCTTCTCTAGGATCTGTTTGGTTTGAATTACTAAGGAAACTTAGAAGAATATAGATACTAGCCAATACCATTGTACCTGGCCTTGTGGCCACAGCTAGTATTTAACTATTTCTTGCACAATTCACTATACAATCATTTCACCTTCAGTTCCTAAGCCTTAAGACTTAAAGGTTGTCTTAGTGATTTATATGGAATTATCCATACACTCATCCTTCGTCATCTTACCCTTTCCTGGCCTATCTTGCTACCTTGTCCTTTTACTGACAATGCTGGGCAGAAGAGTATCAAGAAAAATTTAATAGATCACCTAAGAGTCATACTTATTTCTCCCTCTTCCAATGAATGACAGCATCCTTTCTTCTTGTGAAAATCAGAGTCAGTTACCCCTGGCAGGATGGTGACTCCTTCCTTATGCTGGATAGTTCATGAGCACAACGAAGACAGAAATTCAATATCAAAGTGAAATCATGTGATGTGTCTTCTGTGCCTGACTTATTTCACTTAACATAATTATTTCTAGTTCCATTCACAGTGTTCCAAATGACAGGATTTCATTCTTTTTATGACTGAACAGTATTCTACTCTGTTTATGTACCATATCTTCTTTATCCATGCATTCATTCATGGATACTTAGGTTGACTTTGTATCATGGTTGTTGTGAATTATACTGCAATAAATGTGGAGAGTAGATATCTCTTTGACATCAATATCATTTGTTCATTAGAATTGTCTTTGAAAATATCTTTGAATTCCTCTGAGATTCTAGAGCTATGTCCTGTTCAGGTATGAAGTCATCTGTATTATTCTGTTAAGCAATATAGGATTTTTTTGTTTTGTTGTTATGATATAGTCAAGGGCTTGAAGACTTATATATCCAACCACATGGCCCTACCAAGATTCTTTATAGTATCCACAAACAACACAGCTAAAATAGCTTTTACCTTTTGGGCCTCAAACAAAACCTTGTCTTTCCCTCACTTTCTCATCTCAACAAACTTCCCTGTCTCAATTGCAAAGGTACACATTCCAAGGGACACACTTAATTCATTTCTGTCATTTACCACAAACATCTACTTCATCAGCAAGCTCAGCACTCCCAGGGTTTATTTCCTTCTCATGTTCTACATTGTAAACATTTGTACATTGGCACTATATCTGCTCACCTGAATGATTGCAGTGGTTGCTGTTATAGTCTGGATGTGGAATGTCCCCCAAGTCTCATATATTATAGGCTTGGTTGCCAGCCTGTGGCACTATTGAGATATGGTGTAACCTTTAGAATGTGAGGCCTAGTAGAAAGAAGTTAGGTCATTGGAAGCATGCTCTGGAAGAGGATTTGGGACTTTGGCTCCTCTCTCCTTCCCCTCCTTTCTCTCTTGCTTCCTGACTGCCATGAAGTGAGCAACTTTGTTCTACCATACACTTCCTGCTTTCA